ATGTGAGTATAGCACTCCTGTGAATATTTTATGTGGAGGTCCAGTAATTGGAAAGGACTGGTTTTCCTCTTCTACCATGGGTTCCAGGGATCAAACTCAGGCTGCCAGGCTTGACTGTGACCACCTTAACCAGCTGAGCTCATCTTGCTGACCCTGAATGAGCACTCGTAAAAAGTTAATTAGTTGTTGTTGTGGGTGTGGCGACTCACACCTTTAAAAAAAATCTCAGTAACTCTGGAAGGAGAGGCAGGTGTATCTCTAAGTCTGAAGCCATTCTGGTGGCTTCCACTGCACACTTGGCCTGTCAGAGGTACATAGTGAGACCCTGTCTCAACGAAGTTATCATTGGGTTTTTTAGATTGTGGGAAAATTTGTATAAAATTCATGGTTACCTATTTTAAGTGTACCCTATAGTGGTTTGACTATGCACACACCATGTAGCCACCTTCCAGCACAATACTAATTGGACAAAAGTCGAGACCCACTGAACAACAGCTTACCCTTCCCCAAGCTGTTCTCACTTGTTGACTGTCCTGCTGTATTCTGTTATTGTTGCTCAAACAGTACATTGTACTCCTATTGACATTAAGGTGATTGCCACAAAATCATCTCTTGCTGGGCAAATAAGGGATCTTTGTTTGTGATTCACTTGGTCTGTACTTTTCAGTTCTCTCACATTCAAAAATCTATTGACACCAAGAGAAGCAGTGACTGGCTTGGAAACATCTGATGCCAGGGGTCTGCTCACCGGATCCGAACTCGGCAGTGGGATCCAACACACCCAGACACTGCCAAGGCCCCGGTAACAGTGCCACCTCCATCCACGACAAGAGGACAGACATCAGAGTATTGGAACTGTTTACATCAACCAGAAGGGACCCTTGGTCCCCTATCTACCAGGAGAGGAAGAGACTCCTGCTACACCCACCCGAAGAAAGGAAGAGGACAAAGTAAAAACACATTCAACAACAGAAAACCCAATATGACACCACCAGCGACTAGGAACCATACACCAGCAAGACCTGAACATCACAATGCAGATGAAGCAGAAGAGAATGACCTTAAAAACATCTTCATGAAAATGATAGAGGACCTCAAAGAGGACATGAGAAAATCCCTTAAAGAAATGGAAGAAAAAACAAACCAAAAATTACAAGATATCAACAAATCTCTCAAGGAAATAGTTCAAGACCTAAAAACTGAAATAGAGACAATAAAGCACAATCTGAGGGAATTCTGGAAATAGAAAAACTGGGTAAACATGATCAGGAACTACAGATGCAAGCATAACCAACAGAATACAAGAGATGGAAGAGAGAATCTCAGGAGTTGAAGA